CCCACTGCAGTCAATGGGAGGCCAGGGCACTGTAGCCAGGTCAAGACTCACTGCTGCGGTGCCACTTGCTGTTCATCCTAGGAATTAGCTCTTTTCCAGCCTCCAGAATTCCTCCTGATGGCCAGTGTCTCTCCTGCCTCAGACACCCCCCCCCCCCATGTCCCTTCTGGACCCTAGTGCCCCTTACCTTGGGGTTCTGCCCCAGCAGTACCCCCACACACTGTCACCCCTCCCAGGGGAACCCCCAACCCTCTCTGCCCACCTTGCCTCAGTGGCTACTGCCAGTCATCACTCAGCCCCTTTTCACTGGGGCAGACTGCAATGGCCACTCATCACTGGCAAGGGGGTCAGACCAGCTGCCTCTGCCTATTCCTGGGCTGCACCTCCCAGCCCCAGTACCTGCATCTGCCTTTATCAAAGCCTCAGCCTGGGGAGTTGCCAGGCTGGAGCTCCCCAGCTCCTCTTGCCCTTCCCAAGCACTGCACTGCACTGCACTGCACTGCACTGCTCTGCTCTGCTCTGCTCCAGGTCCCTTGCTCCCAGGCAGCTAGCCCTTCCCATTCCAGGGTTAGAGTAAGACTCTAACCCAGCTCTTCCCTTAGGCCTTCTTATACTCCCAGCCCAGCCTTGATTGGCTGTCTCAAGCCTGCTCCTGATTGGCTCCCCAGGGCAGTCCTTTCTCAGGGCTGTTTTTAACCCCTTCCACACCAGAGCAGGGTGACCACCCCACTACACACACACACCCTCAAAATCCCACACCCAAGGGTAGAGGGGTCCTCTCGCCTGTGTGACCCGGAGATGTCCCACCAGTCACACTCACTTTTCTTCACTGTCCTTTCAGTTTTAAGGCCAAGTCTTCCTTCCCCTTGTGGGCTCTTTGCAGCTCCACCTCCGCCGGGCCTGTTCTGCTGCTGTCAGCCATGTACCTAGGCTAACATCCCCCAGGCCCTCTAACTTCAGGGTTTGGGCTCCCGCTGTAGCCTGCTTGTCGTCAGTCTGGGTCCCCTCTGTCGCAGTACCTTTATGGGACACCTTCCATTGGGCCTGGTCCCCTGGTAGGTCTACTGCCCTCATTGCGGCATTAACCTTGCTGGCCTTCGGCCCCCTGGAGTCCTTAGGTATCTCGGCCTGCACCCCTCGTCCCTTGAAGGGGCAGTGTCTCCTAATATGGCCTCTCTCCTGGCAGAAGCAGTAAGCTCCTTGCCTTCTCCCAGCCTCGGGCCCTTTCCAGTCCTTCCTGGGCCTAGCCCTCCCTGGGCTGCATTCTCTGAGCCTGGGCAATCCCTCCATAGGTGCCCTTGCTGCCCTGCACTCTGCCTTCTGGCCCTGGCACTTGACTTTCCTTCACACTCTCAGCGGCTCCTTTGGAACTCCCTCCGAAGGAGTTTTACCAGGACTCACTGCTCCTCTGCCAGCTGCCTCAACTGTTGTGGAGGGCCCACTGCACCTCCCCGAGTCCCTCTTGGGTCTCCTGGATCCCTCACAGCAGGGATCCCTTTCTCCCCTGTGGGTCTTTAGCCCCCTTTTGCCAGGGCACTGATGCCTGTCCCCAACCAGGGATAGCACCTGGGCCCACTGCCAAGAAAACCCCAGTGTAGCCAGGATCCATCATCCCTTCCTGTAGCTCGGCACACCTTGCCTAATCCTCACAGTCCCCTTGTATCAGGGGTGGGCCGCACGTGCCCATGTTCTCCACCACGTGTAGTGAGGTTGAGACTCACTGCCATGGCACCTCCTGCCGGTCATCCTGAGAATTAGCTCTTTTCTAGCCTCCGGAGCGCCTCCGGATGGCCGGTGTTTTGCCTGCCATAGCCCCCCCATGTCCCTCCTGGACTCCGGTGCCCCAGCAGTACCCCCACACTCTGGGTCTCCCCTCCCAGGGGAACTCCCAACCCACTATACCCACTTTGACTCAGTGGCTACTGCCAGTCACTCAGCCCCCTTTCACTGGGGCAGACTACAGTCTGTAATTGCCACTCATCACTGGCAAGGGGGTCAGACCAGCTGCCTCTGCCTAACCCCGGGCTGCACCTCCCAGCCCCAGTATCTGTATCTGTATCTGTATCTGTATCTGTATCTGTATCTGTATCTGTATCTGTATCTGCCTTTATCAAAGCCTCAGCCTGGGGAGTTGCCAGGCTGGAGCACCTCGCCTTGGGCACCTTGCTCCCAGGCAGCTAGCCCTTTCCACTCCAGGGCTAGAGTGAGACTCTGACCCAATGCCTCCCTTAGGCCTTCTTATACTCCCTGCCAAGCCCTGATTGGCTGCCTCAAGCCCGCACCTGATTGGCTCCCTGGGAAAGGCGGTTTTTAACCCCTTCCACACCAGAGCGGGGTGATGGCCCTGCTACAGGCACTCAGCACCTCACAGGATAGTACTCCATGTCTGATGACTGATAATGCCAGAGTCAGTTCAATAGACTGCAGTATTGCCAGCCCCAAATGTTCAAAAATCATGAGTCAGGCTCACCAAAAATCACTAGATTGGCTTTAAAATCATGAGATTACATAAAAATAATAGAGTTGATTTTCTTTATTTGCCTTCTGCTTTTTGAGCCCTTAGGGTGCACTGGGGTCACATTTTGAAGCTTTCTCCACAGCCATGAGGGCTAGAAACTTACTTTTTCTTTAGGCATGAAGCCAGAAATCATTACATCTCCACTTGACTCCAGGAGCTGGGGCTTTAAGGAAAACAATAATTAACATGAGACTCATGACAAAATCATGGGAGTTGGCAGCACTGAGACTGATTCAATAGAATTTGTGCCCACAGTAAAACTATTAGGTTTGCATTCATACAGGGTCATGTCAAGTGGGAAATAGAGTTGGAGGGCACTGGTCATATGCTGGTACCCTGCATCTCCTACAACACTCACTGCCACTCTCAATTCGTTAACGAGCAGGCTGACGATACAACCATAAAGTTTCAAGTCTCAACTGTACAGCAAGCCCCACATCTTACATACAACAAGGAAAGACCTCCCCCACAAAAATCTCTCTTAATTTATAGGTAAGGCAACTGAGTGCAATTCAAAACAAGGCACATTAAACATCCATAACTATTCAGGCTGAAAGAAGTCACAAGCTAAGGTTACATCAACAATCTTGAGGGGGAGCAGCGGAAGAGCTCTCAGGTACTTATACCTCTTAGCAGTACTTGCGAGTGGTGGCTTCAACTGTTCTCATGCAACTTTACTGAGCTGTTCAGGTTTTCGGAATCTGAGGAACTGCCAAGAGGGGAGTAGCAGAACCTCCCCTCTTGTGAAGAGTTCAACTACATGGTGACTTTTAATGGCAGGATCCAGGAAGGGGGAGCATGGAAGAGATGGAAATGGAACTACTTTAAATTCACTCAATTTTTATAGTTTACCTATATATATATATATATATATACACACACACACACACACACACACACACACACACACACACACACAC